CCCCAAAACCCCAAAACCCCAAAACCCCAAAACCCCATGAATCAAAGTTTGTATCTTTTCTGAGAAATGAGAAATATAGAGATCTTAATTAAATTTGGAGATACTCAGAATCATTTCTTTACTACTACGCTGCTTAACTATTAGGTATGCTATAGAATTGCTTGCATTTCCTAGAACTTTTTTTTCCACTCTCCAATTCTATCCTAGATTGATTGCCACTCTTGATTTAGAGCATGACTTTTAATGACTATCTCCTCTTTCAATTGGTCGACTTTAGCATCAAGAATGCCTGAGGCAATGGCTTCGATTGCCCAGATTTCTACCTCATCGATGCTAATCTATTTAAATTAAGACTCATAAACTATTTTCTTACATTTAGGATGTTAGCCAAATCAGAGTAACTATGATTGGATGAATCTAGCTTAAGGTTGCAAATTTAAATATATTGCTTTTTCTTAATGATCTCATCCATTTATAGATGCTCTTCAGCAATCAATGTTTAGAATTACTGAACTATATCAGTGAATTCTTTGGTGTCAGTTGAAGTGAAAAGACTCATAAAATCGAAAACAACTTTATCTTTCTAAAGGTAATCATAAACGAATATTTTATCTTACTGCTTGTAAGTACTTTACTGCCTTCAGCTTTAGGATATCTGCAAAGTCAATAACAGTTGGCACTTTGATTGCTAGAATAACACATCTCTTTGCTTCAATTTCGATTAAATTGGCAGTCAATTCTTTTTCATCAGATCTCTCAAAAGTTCTCAAATATCCTTGCATTACTTCAAAGGCACCAGCTCTATTATTCATAATGTTTCAAATAAGATGGGTATTACGATTCATTGTTTCTATCTAGAGTATGAGCACTGCTTTTCAACAGCTTTCTTCTTTGGTCAAGGTTTAAATTCCACTCCTTAGAAATATTTTGGACATTTCTCAAGTTCTCAACAATAATCTTAATTTGATCATTTTTATCGCATAATTGATAAAGTCTTTGGAAGCTAACAGATCTCATTGAAGAAGTCTCGCTGAATATGCTATATATCAAAAGAACTCTAAAAACAAGGTAAATAATCATAAAATATTTACGAGTTGATTTTGATTGGAAGAGCATATTGAGATTGCTCAATAATGTCGCAAATTTGATTAATTTGATTTTCTAGCCTAGCTAATTGCTCTTTGTTTTTTTTATTGCTTTCATCTTACAATTTTAGCAGGGGTAATATGAGTAAGATTACTCTTTGAATGGTAATTGGAGTGTTTTTGTGAGAAGTGGGTAGATTGCTAATTACTTCTCTGAGGGAGATCAAATAATCTAGAATGCCACTGATGTCCTCACTCTCTTCTAACTTATTCAAGGTCTCTTCAAAGTTCTCGATGTGCTTGGCATGGACTGAATCCACTGACTTGGCTAGGTTTTCCTTAAAGTAAGAGAGAATCTCAGATATTTGCTCCTCTTAAGTTTAGGCTGAAACAAAATGCATATTGAAATTGATATTTATTAATTAATAATATAAAGATTGCAATAAACTATAATAAGAGGGTTACCAAGTATATACTTTTACAAGAGATACATATATCTCATTAGATCCGGAGATTATAATTTATGATTTCAGGGAAGTAGACAAGAGGCTAATAATGATTGATTGATTAGGTGGAATTAATCGGTTTACGAAAGAACAGTCTTCAAATGCTTCTGTTGGGGAAGAGCATGACTCTGAGTGTAGATCCCATGGCTCTGGGTGGTAGATTTCTTGCGAACTTTGCTCTTACTGATCCGTTGTTTCCGTGAGCCTTTACGATTTTACCCCAAATGGTTCTGAATCTGGTATTGTTGGTGGTGTTCTTTGCCTTGAAGATGTAAACAACTCTCTTTCCGAAGTAGGATGAGGTATCTTGCTTTTGATTCACACCCTTGATCTTCAAGAGGGCGAACTGCTCATGCTGGGTTGACTTGCCTCTCTTGAATCCAGTGAATACTGCCTTGGTGTACAGTCTATATTCAATAAGAGTTAAAATATGCTTGTCAAAATGAGGGAAATTCAAGTAAAAGGGAGTCTAATTCATACCTAACTGGTTGAGTCTTCTTGTGAACTCTAGTGCTACTAGCCTTCTTGTCTGCTGCTTCTTTACCCATCTTTATATAATAATGATATGATAATAAGTAATAATAACTTTACAATTAAATTTTATGCAAATAAATGAAAACAGCTAGCAATATAATAAACTTTCACCAGACTAACCCAGCAAATCCGCTCTTTTCTATCAATCCATTCGCTATGAAGTACCTTAACTTGGCTGATTCACAAGAGTCACCTAGAGACGAGTAAGAATACAGGCCTCCTTGCTTTGGGCAAATATAAAGTGATATAAATATTACTGAAGATGAGGACACTAGTAAAATTTTATGTAAAATGACAATTTATTTAGGCATTCCTGATGAATATGATGAATAAGTCAGCAATTAAGTATCAGAATAAATATAATCGGAAGGTGATGTATTCAACATGAAGATTGTCATTAATGACTCAAATGATACCCATTATGACAACTAATACAGTTTCGCAAGCCCAGACTCAAAATCTCAGTCGGGAAGCAACTCTCAAAAACAAGAAGGTGCTCGTGAGTAAGATTTAGCAGAATAAATTTATATGGAATTAACTAATGGTAGAATCCAATAGCCTCAGTATGTATCTATAATGCTTATTAATTCAAATAGAATTTCAGCAGATTACCAAACAAATATTGAGATGAGATACAACTTGAACACAGAAGAAGTTATTCCCGAGGAAGATGGAGAGACATAATAAAGTAGGTAGGGTACACCACTTAACGATCTACGAAATATGCACATTCAACGAAAATGTAATAATTTTCGGCAATATTTTATAATTTTGATATAGGAAACTCATAGCTTTAATAATAATTAGCACTTGTTCAAGAAAAAAATGCTAATAAACTCCTCCAGTATAAGTAGAATTTACCCAAGAAAAATCTAGCTTCGAATTATTCTACTTATAATAGGCTATACAATAATTAGGGGATAAATTTGGGAAATAAATTTAATCAAAAATCTAGCAATATAGATTCGCAATCATCTAAAATGTTCTTTAATTTAAAAAAGAAGAGTTTAGATGAAGCTTACGAGTCAAAAAAAGGTTAATTTATAAATCAAAACTTCTTAATTGGATTGAAGAAAACTCCACCTTTATCTGAACTTAGAATGTCCTTTGAATCTAAATAAAATATAGCTTCTCACAATAGAACAAACAGTAACAGGAATTCAATGTGCAATAATAAATCTCCTCCATCAAAATAACCATCAGTTGAGCGCAAATAATCTAGATAGACATCACCTTAGAAATTACTCTCACTAATTTAACCTGAACTCGAGAAAAAAGTAGCTTCTTATTCTAATCAAGCCAATTAAAAACAGAGTGTTCAGATAAGAAAGTAACTTGACGATTAAATAAAGCTGAAGCAGTAACTGATGCAAAAGTTGATTAAATTGGAAAAAGATAAATTAGAGTAGAAAAAGAAAAAAGATAGCTAATCAAAATATACCCATAATAAAAATGATGAATAATATGGTAATGGAAATAATAAAAGCGTAAATATGTATGAAAAGGGAGTTAGGACAACAAATGAAATCTTTAATTATGTATAGAGGAAAAATAAAACAAAACTGCTATACCCTTATAGACAAAAAAGATCTAGTCTTTATCATAATGTAAGCTCTGCAGATAATTCCAATTATGAAGCTAAATTTGATATTCTTTCCCCACATATGTAATCAAAAGAGTCATTATTATCAAGAGATACTAGCCCTATTGGTTCTCATAAGAAATAACCATCCAGAGATAGTTAGCATTAGTAAAGTACTTCAAGATAAATGAATAATAGCAAAGGAGTATTGGAGAACAGAGCTAGTTGGAATTTTAACAATGAGTTGCATTAAAATTCTGTCTAGGATTCTCAGGGACAAGAATCAACTTTTCTTAAGGTGGAACTATATTAGCACTAATACCAAAATTATCCGTTTATTAACTGCTCTCCAAGTAAGGAGAAGCTACTTACCAACTTAAAACATACTATCAACAGTTACAACAACACAACATCATTGAGAGAATTTTCAGCGAAGAGAAACCTATCTGCTAATAGGAAAAAATCAATAAACTTAAGTATTAATTAGCAAAACAAGTCTTAATTAGAACAATCATTAAGAAGACAAACTCTTCAACCAGAATCGACAAAGAGTATTCTTAGAAGGAGTATGATGTGATTACAAGGCTTAGACATTGCTAATAGAATCGTTCTATAGTTACTGTATTTATTATGATATATATTCTTTTTCGTGTGCTTTTTTATTAATTTACATAAATAGATATATATATTAAGATTTAACGAAATTAATTTTATTTTTGTATTTAATTATTCTCGGAATTGCTTTCATCTCCTATATCTGTGTTTCTTAAAATTGAAATACAGTTGAAGGACGCCTCTATCAAATACATTTCTAAATCCATGTCTCTCTGACATTTCCCACTCTCTGTTGATGATCTTGAAAGCAATATCTTCATAAGGAGGTCCAGCATGAAATCTTATTATTAGGGTATCTGGTGAGTCTGATTGTTCTAGGTAATTCTGAGGAGTCTTAGTCTTATCAATAAGATCCGGATAGAATATATTGAACTTATAACCTTAAACGATCTTAGGAGGAGGATTGTCAGCATCATAATGAGTCTGGTTGTACTTGTTCCACTCATATCCAGTTAATACACTATTAAAGAATTTAGGCTTTCTAGGCTTATATTTATCTTCCCAGTCATACTTTATCTTTTTGTCGAAATCGTGACTTACAATATCTGTAAACTCAACTTCATCAACACCTAATCCTTTTCTTCTTATTTCATCATACATTGCATTTGAGGTTGTTTCATAACCCTTTGCATCAATATCAAACCTAACTAAAGTATTCAATGCAGTCTTCTTAACTCTTTCTGATGGTAAAAGTAAATCCTAATCCACCTTGTCGGATTCCAAACTTAATTTCTTAATCTGCTTATTAATGAAATCTCTCTTCAACTTTTCTTGTTCCTCTGCATCCTACTCATCTGTTATCGCGATTGACTTTAAAAATCCTGCATCCTCAAAGGGTATAAGAGCTGGTGATAATTCACCATCATTATAAACATGATCTTTTTTGTCTGTCTTTAGTTGAGTATTTATCTGCATTTATGTGGAATTTTATTTTGTTGAAGTTTGGGGTTTTTGAATATTATCTATTGTCAGTGATGTGAAAGGCTACTGGTAAGATTTTTCCTTAGTCTTTTACTAACTTTAAACTTTTGCTTCCTAAAGAACTTTAACTTCATTTTCTACTTTATCCCTATTTTAGTCCACATAATCTTAATATATTTTTTGTATATTGAGCTGAGCTAGTTTTATCTTTATTCTTTTGAGGAGATTTTACCAATACTACATTTCAATTGCAAAGCTTCTATCATTAGTCAGAGATGTTTAAATCTCCTTATGAAGATCAATTAATTCATCTATTGACTTATCATTAATCATTTCATTTGCCTCTTAATCTAACTCTTCATTGTTTACTAGTTTATCATTAGCATCTTCAAGAAGGGGCTCATCTGATTATTCTTTTAGCATTTGCTTTTTCTTTAGGCCATATTACATTTCACACAAAATCTTAGATGCCTGCCAGTAGTTCTAAAATCTTTGATTAGTTTTATCAATGCTTTAAAAGATTTCAATCTCTTTTAATAGCTCCTCTAGTTCATTGAGACCAAGCATATCAAGCATTCTGTAAGATTCCTTATAGTCTTCACTTAAGAAGTCTATACAAATAGGAAGTTTATTCTCAATGATTAGAATAATTTTAGCTAAAAAATCTATTGGCTACTCTCTATTGCTTTAAATCCTAAGTTTAGATCTTAGGATTGCCTGCTCTAAATGGAACAATTCTTCCTTCGCTTTCCATTTTTCAAAAGAATCAACATTTGGATCATTCATGTTTGGCTTACTTCCATCTTTTTAATGAAAATTCTATGTTCTTTGAAATTCTTCTCTTTATACCCTCCAATCACCTCGAGTTTCACTACTCTTTATTGTATAAAGATATCGAGGTTATTAGTTATTAGATTAAAAATAATTGGCTGATTAATGATACTTACTACAATTTTTTGCAAATCTTTATTGGATCCAGAACTATGACTACTGTAAAGACTAGAGCTTCTTGAATTGCTGCTACTCGATTGATGACCTTATTTGGCTATCTTTGATCCTCTTGTTTCATCTTTGTCTCTATTTCTTGACCTTGACCTACGAGACCTTCTATCTGAATAATCTTTTTACAATTTTTCCATTTTATTTAATTATAATTTCTTTTTGTTGATTTATTCAAGCTTACCGGGGTTTTGGGGTTTTGGGG